GTCTTTCATTGTTTTCTTGGTTTTCACGATGACATCGTCGCGATGCTAACTGATCGGTCGAAATTATTTCAGATCGGAAGTCGGGCAACAGGAAACCTTCGCCCGCCGAAGCACTTATGAAGCTATCGCGCATGATACCTCCTCAACAGAACGCAACTCGCCTACCACCACCGCACGCGTTGGTAGCGCCACCCTCAATCCAAACGTTGCCACCCGCCCAACCGGCAATGGTCCTTCCCACCTCTCCACCACCCTCGAGCCATACCGCCCGTGGTGCGCTGATTGTCCTCGAAGGCTGCGAAGACGTTACCACGTCCTTGCAATCAACGAAGCTGCTCGAATTCCTAAAGAATGAAGGGATAAAGGCTTCCCTGTGGAAATTTCCCGACACCTCGACACCATCTGGCGCAGCGCTCAAAACCTATCAGTCGAGCAATCGCCGAACACATCCTAAAACCCATCATCTGCTCGTTGCGGCGCACTGGTGGGAATTGATGCCCATAATGAGCGATCATTTGCTCAACGGTACCACCCTCATCGTGGATCGTTACGTGTATTCCGCAATTGCAAAGTCCGCTGCAGCCGGGTTGGACTTGAATTGGTGTAAGAATAGTTACGTTCAATTGATGAATCCTGACCTAATCTTCTTCCTCAACGTGGAACGGGATTTCTCTGCTGACAAGGAGCAGCAGCTCCCGCATGTTCATGATGTATTTGGCGGCCCGGGTGCAAATAGCGATGGCGTGGCTGAGGATGGCAGGCGCACGGCAGAATGGCAAAAAAGAATGCAAGATGCGTTTAGTAAATTGGCGGAAGTTCATTGGAAGGTGGGATTTTTATTTTCATTTTTATTACCATTATTATTTTTTTTTTTTTTTGAAAGGACTGCGAGAGATATTTACTCGGATAAATATAGAGATGACGGTTTTTCTTGGTTTTTTTTTTTACTCACGATCTTGCTTCTCTCTTAGGTTCTGGACGCGTGTAAGTCGAACACACTTGTTCATGCACAAATTCTTGAAGCTTCGATCGAAGTGATCGAAAGATGCCGCAAATGTAACCCAGGCTACGGAGGAAGCGTTAATAATAATTTAATGACACCGAATCAATTCTTACCGCCAATCGGACCGTCGTCGTCACCGGTTCAACCGTACCCCATAACCAGCCTAAACAGCGCACCTAATGGTCAACCGACGGGCGCACCTCAGTCATCACCACAGCAGGGTTTGCCATCCATAGGGAGACATGATGGGTTCACTAGATCAGTTCATGTGCAATTGTGAGTGAGGTCGGACAATTTTGGTGACTATTTTTTTTGCTTTTGGAAAAGTAACCAAATAATAGAGTGTTCTGTTGTTGCGTCTTTATCCAAACGAAGGCGTAGGTTCTGTCACTTCAAGATTAGTGAAAAAAAAAAAAAAAAAAAAAAAAAAAAAGGAAAAGGAAAGAAAAAAACCATGTGGTAAAATTGTAGTTAACGCTTTTTATGTAAATCGGAATTTAAACATTATATATATTTTGTTTCATTTCTTGCAATATCTCATTTCTTCTTCTTATAAATAATTAGTCTTTTCTCAAAAAAAAAAAAAATTTTTATATACATATAAAACACAAGTGCTACTTCTCATTCAATTCACCTTTTCCATTTCTTTGTAAATTTTTCTTCTTCACCTTTCCTTTGTTCATGCGTTGACGCAATATCTTTTTCATCCTTGCATTTTATTTTTCCCCACATGCACATATTAACTCCTCACCTATCATTAAAACACTTTGCACACTCCACTCTATATACACGCAAACGTTTCATACACATACACATTGTCTTTTTTTTTTTTTTTTTTCTCTCTCTCTTCGCATATAAATAAACATCAAAGAAACAATTAACAATAAGTAATTATATTCCATTTGCTGAATAGTGACGTCCCCTTATTCTCATGTACACATAACACATATTTTCTTTCTTTCTTCACTATCATTTCGTTAAATTTATTCATTAAAGATATGTTAAAATATGATTTTTATGTTCGTTATGTTACACATATATATTATTATTATTATTATTGTTGTTATATATATGGTTCATACTTTCAAAAATTTGTGCAAGAAATCTGATTCAAGAAATTGATCTCTACCACTTTTCCTGTATATTTTTTTTGATCTCTTTTTTTTTTTTTTTTTTTTTTTTTTTTTTTTTTTTTTTTTTTTTTTTTTTTTTTTTTTTTTTTTTTTTTTTTTTTTCTTTTTTTTTTTTTTTTTTTTTTTTTTTTTTTTTTTTTTTTTTTTTTTTTTTTTTTTTCCAATATTATTTCTTCTTTTTTTTTTTTTCTTTTTTCCTTTTTTTTTTTTTGAACTGATCTTCTGTTCAACGTACGTACTAAATAAAAAATTCTTTCTTTCCCCATAGCCTCAATAAATTAAAAAAAAAATGAAAAATGAAAATCTTTAGTGCATCGAAATTTTGGGGTGTGATTTTAATTGGGAATTATGCCCTTGGCATTTGGCGTGTAAAAAAGTGGATGTGCACTAAACTTTTTTTATTACGACTCGGTTGGTTGAGTTCAGGCAAAGTAGTAATAACATATCTACGTGCATACGAATATATTTATTTATTTATTTATTTGATGATTTATTTATTTCTGTACATAATTTCTATTTCGATTATCATAGAAGAAACTTTTAATGAAGAATTTTTAAATTTATCTCGATGTACTGTGATTGAGAGTGGTTATTTCAGGTGCAACTACTGCAGTCGCACTTAATTCTTTATTGAAGTATCTATTAGGATACTCATGCGATTGATATTGATTAAATGCATACCATCCGTTGGAAACTTGGGCATTTAAACAACATCTACTGTGTATTTGAATGAAATTCTTGTATTCGATGTGCCTTTTTTTTTTTTTAAAAAAAAAAAAAAAAAAACTGGCACAATCTATTTTAACGATTCATGTAAAAAAATTTGGTTGCATCAAGATTAAATAAAATCTTTCTCTTTTACAACAAAAGTTTTGTCTAAGTAAAAAAACAATGATAAATACATATGTTGGTATTATTATCATTATTATTTATAATCAGACATCTGTCTGTAAAAATATCTATTTATTGTTTAATTTATTTTAATGCACAATATTAATTACTTTACCACCATTTATAAAAACATCATCCTATTTATTGTTTAATTTATTTAACGCACAATGTTAATTACTTTATCTAAGGCGCAGATTTTTATAACTCCGGTCAGAATTATAAGTAGAATAAAAAGTAAAAATAAACCTTTTTTTGCGATAAACACAAATTTTCCTATATACTGTGTTACGGTATCGTTTGGACCAAATTTTTATAATTCCGGCCGGAATCATAAGTGCGTTAATTACAATGCATGTCATAATACCTTAGTGCAGATACGAAGTATTTACAGTATATTATATCGAAAAATAACAATCTATATTGCTATATATACTGCATATTTACCAGATTTCTTATTTTAATGAATTGCCAAAGGCAGTCACAATTAGTATCTGAATACCGACCGATAATATTAAGGATATGATTTTTATTTTGCAAGGTAATAATTGCATTCATGCTGCTTTTCTCGCAACCCTCAATGACAAACTTCTGGAGATCACACCTATTTGCTAACGCGGACACAGATACATCACTAATATCACAACATTCAATTCGAGATTAGGGTAAATCTGTGCTATCTCACAAATAGACTCATCAGATATGAGCTCACACATATTAAGTTATCTAAGGTTCAGGTTGGAATGTACGATTTTTTAACCGATATATCAGTAATTCCTTCATAATCCGCCAACCCATATTTTTGCATGTTGGGACGTGCCGAAGCAATCGCGCACACTCAATGATCTGTTATTTTTTGACATTCGGTTAAGCTTAGAATGTGGAGTTTCAGGCATGATTCGGCAATCTCGATTATGGATGCATCAGTAATGTTCTCATTATGAATCAATTTTAGATGACGTAAATTAATACGAGTGCGCAATTGCTCTCAATGATAGATCGGTTATTTTAGGGCTGCTAAGTTTTAGACACTGTATATATATTTGACTCAATTGTGCTATTTTATATAAAGTTATATCCTTTATACTGTATATTGTGTTTGCCAAATCATTTACAGTATTTCTACACTAGTCAAAATTATGTCATTTGGCAGTTGAATTATTGCCAAATTTGATTAAATTTAATAATAAAAATATTGACAAATTCTTTTCAATTGCTGCTACTCAGCATATTACTATTTTGGCAATAAAGTAGCAATCAAAAATTTGTCAATCAAAAATTTGGCAATCAAAAATTTATCAATTAAAAGTTTAACAATAAATTATCAAAACATTCTTTAACAATTCATCAAATAATTCATTAACTATTTAGCAAAAATTCATTAAAAGTTTATCACAAAATTATTTATCAGCAATTCAATAAAAATTTGGCATTAATTTATTAATAATTTATCAAAAATTTGTCAACTATTTATTAAAAATTCAATAACTATTCATCAAAACTATTCATTAAAAGTTTATTGACCATTCATTAAAAATTTGGCAACTATTTATTTATTATTTATCAAAAATTTATAAAACTTGTGAAAAAAATTATTCATATTTATAAATTATTTGAATGATAATATATAATTAATTAAATTATAAAACAAAAACTCTTTCTGCTGATCCTCTGACCACACATAAAAAAGATGTTCGCAAGAAGTTTTTATACTTTTTTGCTAATAAAGTCTTAATACTTTTCTTAAAACAACTTGAAGTATGACTTCAAGAGTC